GACCCTTTTCTTAGTCTGCATCCCGCTGACCTCACCCTCTCTAACTTTGTCGACACCCTGTCTGCCATAGAGACCCGTCAGCGCTCTATTGCCCTGCCTAGTGGTACTGCGTCAGTCCCTATCTTTCAGGGTTGTGCCCCCGCTCAGTGCACTCACTCTGACGGTTCTGCGGCTGTCTCTGAGACAGCCGTTACTGCAGAGACTGCTGCCGTGGTGGCAGCAGCGCAGTCCCGTTAGGCTAGGCGCGGCGGTGGTAGTGGAGGAGGGGGTGGAGGTGGTGGTGGAGGTGGTTCATCCGCTGGCGGTAGTACCGACGAGGGGGCTGGGGCTGGTGCCTCGGAGCAGCAGCCCCAGCGGGAGCAGCAGTCGTAGCGGAGGGTCGGCCGCCTCCCTCCTGGGTGGCCTGGCGCAGGTGGTGGTCGTACATGTAGCTCGTCGTTGGGTGGTGGTGCAAGTGATGGGCACTGCTAGTACCAGCTCCAGACCGGTCCTCGCCGCGGCCTTGTGTGCGGTAAGACCGGTCATACCCCTACTCGCTGTTTCAGTCGCCTGGATGACCTTTTTCGTCTCCGCTTCGGCCCCACGCCGGACCTCCCCGACTGGCACAGTCTGCTCCGCCGTGGTGTTAGGATCCTTGATATGGACATGGATGAGATTAGCTCTACATTGTGTGTGATGTATATCGATGACTCTAGTGTGACTGGTTCCTATTACCCCGTGTTGCCTAGTGTAGGTGCATCTCGTGTGCCTAGCTTAGGCTCCCCGGCTGCGTAGGACCTCTTGCTTTGTCTAGCCTTGGCTCCTCCGCCCTAGCTCCTCCGCCCCCAGCCGCCACTGCGGCGCTCTCCTTCAATTTCGACTCTGGCGCATCTCGGTGTTTCTTTTGAGACCACATTACGCTTACGCCGCTTGCCGTCCCTGCCGCAGTTACCCTTGCAGACCCTTCCTCCGGTCCGGTAGTCGCCCGTAGTTCCACCACTCTCCCCTGTCTAGCAGTTCTTTCGGGCTCTCTCACACGGGTGCACATCCCCTCGTTCTTTAAGAACCTCGTTAGTTTCGGCTACCTCCAGGACCTTGGCGTCACCACTACGTTCCCTGGTCATGAGCGGTACACTGTCTGTACCGAGGCTGCCACTGGTGCACCCCTCATGACGTTCCCCCGGGACCCGGTTTTTGGCCTGTTTACGCTGGACACCACGTCCCCGCCGGTTGGGACGCCCCCCTAAATGGCAGCGGCTACCCAGGTTGCTGCGGCTTGCTCGTATCGGTCGCTTACTCACCCGTCGCTTCTGTGGCACCACCGCCTAGGTCACCCCACCCTCTCATGTCTCCGTTACATGTCTAATCACGGTCTTGTCTTAGGTAACCCTGCATCGTTCTCTGCGCACCCCTCCTCGGCAGCGCCTCCGTGCACCCCCTGCGTCGACGGCCGGCTCCGCCGTGCCCCTCACTCTTCCTCGTTCCCCCCCACTACCGCACTGTTGCAGACCCTCCACATGGACGTCTGGGGCCCCGGCCGCATCCATGGGCCATGTCGTGAGCGTTACTTCCTATTGCTTGTCAACGACTACACTCGCTACACCACCATGTTTCCCTTGGAGCGGAAGGCAGACGTGCCCGACGTTCTTATCCCGTGGCTTGTTTCTGCGTCTTCACTCCGACCGTAGTGGCGAGTTTGCCCCTGGCTACCTTGGTCGCTTCTGTCGTGTGGAGGGCATTACCCAGACGTACACCATGCCGGACTCCACGCAGCAGAATGGGGTCGCTGAGCGACGCATCTGTTTGGTCATAAAGGTGGCTCGTACCTCCATGATCCATGCCGGTGCACCCCATTTTCTGCGGCCGCAGGTTTCGCAGACCCTCCTCTGGGCCGGGTCTCTTGGTGACGCGTCTGCATTCTACGTCAAGGGCTGCCTTGCTCACGTTTGTGCCTCTGGCATGGACAAGCTCACTGCCCGCATCGTCCCCTGTGTCTTTCTAGGTTTCCCCCTCGACTCGTCTGACTGACACTTCTACCAACCACCGTCTCACCATTTCTTTCACTCTCGCGATGTCACCTATGATGAGTCCGTCTCCTTCTACCACTGCTTTCCCCACCGTGGTCCCCCGGTCACTTCCCCCCAGTTCTTGGTTTCCCCCCCTCCCCTGGTCACCCCTGCTCCTACCCCTCCCTGCCCTGTCCCATCTGGTGTCTCTCACGTTACCCCCCTCCCGTCGATTGTCCCTCCCGAGGGGTCTGCTGACTCTCGAGGCTCGACGGAGTCCCTTCCAGTGCCTGTCCCCGCCCCGGTCTCTCATCCGCTGTCGCAGCCATTGCTGTCATAGCCGCAGCCGCCTCCGCAGCTGCCGTCGCTGCCGCAGCCGCAGCCGCAGCCGCCATCGTCAGATCCGCTGGGGTCTCTGCCTTCAGGGGGTGCTGGGGAGCGTGCCGGAGCGGGTACTGGAGCGGGTTCCCATTCTGGGGGTGCTGGCGTGGGGCTTCACGGAGGGAGCTGTGGTCCCTCTAGAGGTTCCAGTGTTGGCGTCGGCCAGCAGTCGTCGCCGTCGCCGCCGGTGTCCGCTCTTTCGCCTCCTCGGCCTTCCTTCTCCTGACCGCCCACCGGTGCCTCCTCCGTCATCACTGCCTCCTCCTCTGCTGATCTATAGCCCTGTGTTTCCTCCAGTGGACTCTTCTCCGACTCGTTTCCCTCCTCGTTCTCCTCCAAAGTCTCCTCCCTTCTCTCCTGACCCGACTCCTCCGTCTCACATCTGGGCTCGTCGTCCGTCTCGTGCTCGTCCTACCTCCCCTGTTCTGCGTTCTCACCCTACGTTGCTTCGCTCTTACGCGTCTCGTGCTCCTCCGCTCCTCTCGTCTCCTCCTCCGTCGTCGCTCGCTGTGGCCCCGCCTCCGTTTTCTGACTTCCTCTGTGCCGCGCGTCCCCTTGTTCCTCGTATCCTTGCCTCCCTCATCACCGACCCATCTGTTCTTGTCTCGAGATTTGACGCTCTTGTCGTTGCTGTCACCTGACTTCGCCTCTACCCGCCGCCTTGACTACGCCACTGCTCTGGTCTCTGACCCTGCCTGCCCTCCGTCCGTCGGGGGTGCTCTTGCCCTTGGCAGTGACGTCTTGAGTGACGTCTTAGAGGACAGGCAGTGCGAGCTTGCTTTCTTGTCTGAGGCTGCTCCCCATCTCTGTTCCATGCTGCTTATCCCTGAGGGTGACCCTGACGGCTTTGACATCCCGACCCCTCGCACTTATGCAGAGGCGACCTCGGGACCCTGGGCTTCACAGTGGATAGCTGCCATGGAGTAGGAGATGGCATTTTGGAGATCAACCGGTACCTTCGTCGACGTAGTTCCCCCAACTGGGGTGAACATAGTCGATGGCCGATGGCTCTTCAAGGTGAAGCGCCCTCCTAGAGAGCCGCCTGTCTTCAAGGCGCGCTACGTTGCTCGTGGCTTCAGTCTGTGTGAGGGGATTGACTTCTTTCAGACCTTCGTCCCGACCCTGAAGATGACTACTCTTCGGGCACTGCTACACATAGCAGCACAGGGTGACTACGAGCTGCACTCACTTGACTTCTCCACAGCTTTCCTCTAGGGCAGTCTACACGAGCAGGTCTACCTGCGTCGCCCCAGGGCTTCTCCATTACCTTTACCCCTGGTATCGAGTGGCTACTCCGGCGCCACGTCAACGGCCTGCGCCAGGCACTCCGTGAGTGGCACGACACGCTGTGTGCTACACTTGCTGACTTGCAGTTCTTCCCGTCATCTGCGGACCCCTCGCTCTTCGTCCGTTCCGGCCAGACTTCGTTCTACATCCTTGTTTACGTAGACGATCTAGTCTTTGCTACTGCAGACAGAGATGCGCTGGCCTCCGTGAAAGCCGATCTGCTGAGGAGACACACCTGCACTGACCTAGGAGAGCTGCGCCGCTACCTTGGCTTGCAGATCTCCAGGGACAGAGCAGCGCGCACCATCAATCTCTCACAGTCACACTTGGTGCGTCAGGTCCTTCAGAGGTTCGGCCTTCAGTTCTCTTCCGCACAACCCACCCCTCTGCCAGTAGACCACAGGTTCTCTGCCCCAGTCCCGGAGGAGGCTCTAGAGCCTAGTGGTCCCTACGCAGAGTTGGTGGGTTGCCTCATGTACCTGATGATTTGCACTCGTCCAGATCTCGCATACCCTTTCAGCATCCTGGCCCGCTTTGTGGCCTCCGGCAGACACTGACCACAGCACCCGTTTGCAGCTAAGAGGGTTTTGTGTTATCTAGCAAGTACGTCGGGCATGGGGCTAGTGCTAGGAGGACGCGGACCAGTGGTCCTTACCGGGCACACAGACGCTTCTGGGGCAGACGACGCCGACACTCGCAGGTCCTCCCAGGCCTACTGCTTTAGCCTTGGTGCAAGTGCTGTCTCGTGGAGGTCCACCCGCCCGTCGTCTGTTGCTTAGTCTAGCTGTGAGGCTGAGATCTATGCTGGTGCCATGGCGGCACAGGAACTCCGTTGGTTGAGTTTCTTGCTCACAGACTTAGGTGAGCGGCCTAGCTCTGCCCTGGTCCTGTACGCTGACAACAGGTCCATGATCCTCCTATGTCAGGAGCCCAGACTCGAGGGCAGAGCGAAGCACATCCAGCTGCGGTACTTCGTCTTGCGCGAGCTACAGCAGGGTCGCCAGGCCCGCGTAGTACTCGTGGCCTCCAGTGCCAAAACATCTGATATCTTTACGAAGGTGCTTGCGCCTAAAGATCATCAGCGGCACTGCGTACAGCTTGGTCTCGTTCCTGTAGCAACTCATTTGTTACGACCTTGATTCTGTTGAACTCTTTATATATTATCCTGACTGGCCTTGTGGCTTTCTCCCAGTGGCTGGAGTAGTAGTGCCACCTTGGTCTTGTTCTTGCCTTGTTTGTACTCTTTTGATTGGTTTTTAGACCCCTGCCTCAGAGGTTGGACTAGTAGCAGCCCTGAGCTGTTTGTCCCTCACCAGACTTTGCCCCTATCTAGTCTAGGGGGTGTGTCAAACATATTTGTGTATATTTTGTAGACTATATAAGGTTGTGTCATAGAGAGAACAACCCACTAGCTACGTATATATCCCTGTATACTCTCATTCTAGTCAACACTTCTAACTCTGAGAGTAATCAGGTTCCCTCCACCTTGGAGTCCTTTCTTCAACCTAGCCAACCCAACCACGTTCCGTGTGGCTGTGATTCCTTCTCCTTGAAGTCAACATCAGCCTAGCCAGCCTCCATGAGCGGGGGAGAGGGGAATGAGGAGCTAGAAGTTGTTGAGCATGCGTGCAAGAAGGTGGTTGGGAGTGAGAAGCACGTGCGGCATCTGCTCTCCCGTCAGTGGAGAGGTATCGTGTGATGACAACCATGACGCAATGCTTCGGCGTTCGTACGTGAAACCATCTGCAGCCACCACAGGGTCTGTCATGCGCTCCTGTGGCACAGGAAGGGGGGAATAAGGTGGAAACAGAGTGTGTGTGAGAGACGACGACGAAGTGCAGGAAAAGGTGTCGAGTGACCCGTTGGGGTTACCCTTGAGAAGATCCTCGGGGAAGGGCCACAGGTGCAGAGCCTGGAGGGCTATGGGCGCACTAACCCGCTATTAACGAGCCGTTTTAACTCAGTTAGTGGTTGGGTTTCTGATATGGTATCAGAGCGTTGGTGACTCGGGTTCAATTCCCAGTGCTAGCGCTGCAGAGGCACTCGTGTCTTCCACCTATCCCAGCGAGGGGGGGTGTCGAGTGACCCGCTGGGGTTACCCTTGAGAAGATCCTCAAGGAAGGGCCACAGGTGCAGAGCCTGGAGGGCTATGGGCGCACTGACCTGCTATTAACAATCTCTTTTAACTCAGTGGTTAGTGGCTGGGTTTCTGACAAAAGGATGGCAGAGAGAGAACAGACATGTATGCTGGCTGGTACGGAGGATAGAACGCTGTAGCGAGAGCCAGTGATGGAGGAATTGACACAAGATTTGAGGCACAAAAAACCCCAGCCCACGACCCAACAATCCCCCCTGCACCTAACTCCTCTCCCAAGCATACCTGTGAGAGCGGGCACAGCAGCTGCCCCTCGACCTCCGCCGTCCGCCTGGCCTTCTCCTCCGCGGCCAGCCTGGCCACCTCCACCAGCACCGGGTGCACCGTGGTGCGCAGGTCAGGCCGGTGCACTCGCTTGCGCTCCACGCACCGCGCCGCCACCCTCACCACCCTCTCCACCAGCCCCACCGGCCAGTGCCCCGCATTGGGGTCCAGGTTGCTGGTCACCACAGCTAGCACCCGGTTCATGTCTCTGGCCTCGCCCGGTCCCCCCCCGCTGCTGGCGGAGTTGTGGGAGGAGCCGGAGAGAGGGGAGAGCGGGGACATTCCGGGAGTGCCGCCAGCAGCACTCCAGTTGGAGCTAGCAGAGCATTCCTCCAGCATGCGGTGGAGGTGCTTCACGTTGCGCTTGCCCGTCAGCAGCTGCAGCACAATGAGCCCAAACGCATAGATATCCGATTTCACTGACAGCTGCCCAGTGGTGATCTCCTCCGGATCGATGTACCCCGCGGTCCCCCGCACCTTCCACGTCACGTGGCCCAGCCCGCCGTCCCCGGGGATGAGGCGCGCGAGCCCAACATCAGCAATCTTGCTGGTGCCGTTGGCGTCCAGCAGGATGTTGTCGGGCTTGAGGTCACGGTGCAGGATGGGTGGGTCATGCCGGTGCAGGAACAGCAACGCACCGGAGATCTCTGCCGCGATGCGCAGCCGATCGCACCACGACAGGGGGAGGACTCGCGGCTTCGCCACAGCCACCACCTGCCCACCACCAACACCAGCACCGGCAGCAGCAGAGCCGCCTGATCCCACTCCTGGAGCTGAGGCTGGTGTGGAGCCCGCCACGATCCTCTGCTGCAGGTTTCCCCCCGACATGAACTCATACACGATACAAGCCTCCTCGGGGCACTGCCCCATGAGCAGCACGATGTGCGGGTGCCGCACGCGACTCAGCACCTCCACCTCGGTGCGGAACTCCGCAGGGCCCTGCTCACTGCCCGCCTCCAGCTTCTTGATCGCCACGTCGCAGCCGTACAGCTGTCCCTTGAACACCGGCCCAAACGCCCCCCGCCCCAGCACGTTGGCGTCGGAGAAGCCGCCCGTGGCCTCGCGCAGCTGATCCAGGGTGAAGCGCCGGCAGTCCGAGGACTCGTCTGCGCCGCCTGCTGCCCCGCCCGCCCCTCCTGTGGTGTTGGGTGCTGAGGTGGAGGGGTTGCTGCTGCGCGACGTGCTCGTCGTGGTGTCCGGCTGCCCAGGGAGGAGGAGAACGCAAGGGGGGGAGAGAGAGAGGGAGAGGGAGAGGGAGAGGGAGAGGGAGAGGGAGAGAACGAGGACGACATGAGGAGGGAGAGGAAGCAGAGATGGCTGCTGTGTGAGGCCAGGAGGGACACGGATGGGCTGAGAGAGGAGGAGAGTAGCGGAGGAAGGGATTCGGCAGGACAGATGAGAAGGCATGCTGGCGGCAGGCTGAAGGCAGAAAAGCGTAAAGCAAGACGGAGAAGAGAGAGAGCGAGCGCGGTAGAACTCGACGCTGAACTTACAGGTGTCGTCGACCCAGGAACAGCAGGAGCAGCAGTGGGGTTGAGGCGGCTGGCGGGCTTGCCGGCTGCTGCTGCTGCCCTGTCGGCGACCTTGCGGAGGAACTCAGTGGAGTTGATGGGCGAGCAGTCGCTGCTGATGCTCGCCCTGCTGTGCTGCTGCTGCCCGGGGGGGGAGGGCGCCCGTGATGGGGGGGAGAGGAGAGGAGAGGAGAGAGGAGAGGAGAGAGGAGAGGAGAGGAGAGGAGAGAGGAGAGGAGAGAGGAGAGGAGAGGAGAGAGGTGAGGAGAGGAGAGGAGAGGAGAGGAGAGAGGAGAGAAGAGGAGAGGAGAGGAGAGGAGAGTGGAGAGGAGAGAGGAGAGGAGAGGAGAGGAGAGAGGAGAGGAGAGGAGTAAGGTGAGGAGAGGAGAGGAGAGGAGAGAGGAGAGGAGAGGAGAGGAGAGAGGAGAGGAGAGGAGAGAGGAGAGGAGAGAGGAGAGGAGAGAGGAGAGGAGAGGAGAGGAGAGAGGAGAGGAAGGAGAGGAGAGAGGAGAGGAGAGAAAAGGAGAGGCAGTGAGCGGGAGTGAGGAGAGGTGATTGCAGGGGAATTGGTGATTTTTGGGGGGAGTGGGAAAGAGAGACACAAGGAGGGTCGGTGCAAGAGCGAGCTGCAGTGAAACGAGATCGTAAGGCACAAAGCGAAGTGAACCAGCGAAGAGAAGCGAGAGAAACGGTACGAGGCACAAGAAAGGTGTCACAACTTTTGAGTCGACTCAAAAGCAAAGTCACAAGCAATGTGCACACCTGGTCTGGATCATCACAGTAATCGTCCTCGTCGCCTCCACCACCACCACCACCAGCAGCAGCAGCATCGTCATCATAACCATCAGCACCGTCACCATCACCACCACCAGCAGCACCAGCAGCACCGGGCCGGACGACCCGGGCGAAGCTGAAGTCATGGGCATCACCGTTATCATCCGCCCCCAGCAGCAGCTCCGAGCGCAGCCACCGCCCGCCCTCGTCGCCCCCAGGAGGCAGCACAGGCACCGCCGCAACCATGCTGGCCCGTGCAGGTGGCCACGGGGATGGCGATGACGACTCAAAGGCGCCTGTGCTCACGGGGTTCAGTGGCCCCGACCTAGGCGCCCTCCGCTGCTCGTGCTGTGACCCCTGCTGCTGCTGCTGCTGCTGCTGCCAGGTGAAGCTGTCGTGCGAGGCGAGCGGGAGAGAGTCCGTCGAGTGTGCTGCCTGTGCGCCGTGCCTCCCCGCTTGCCTCCCTGCGTGTCTCTCCGCAGGTCTCCCCACGGCCCACAGTGTCTGCTGCATCTCCTCCCTCAACCCCATCGCTACTTCTATTTCCCCCAACTCCCCCTCCCTCTCCCTCGCCCGCGCCCGCGCCTGCTCCCGCTCCCGCTCCCTCTCCCCGTCAGCCTGTAGCCGGGCCTTTTCCACCTCTACCTCTTCTGCCATCTCCCGCACCCACTCCCTCGCCTCCTCTGCTGCTGCTTCCAGCCGTGCGGCCTCCACTCGCCTCTCCTCCAGCTCCTTCTGTAAACCCGCCAACCAAGCCTCCCTCTTCCCATCCCTGCTGCTGCTCTTTTCCATTGAAATCGCCCCACCCGTCCCTCCTCCCCTTCCGCCACCCCCTCCGCCTCCCCCTCCGCCGCCCCCACCGGCCCCCTTGTAGGCCAGGCCCAGCATGGGGGCAAAGGAAGCCAGGGGCCCCCTTTCCCTGAACGACACGGCTCGGCGGTCAAGAGGGGAGCGAGATTTGGATGTACCACCCTTCCCAACAACGTTCCACAGTTGCTTGCCCACTCCCGGTGCACTTGCCCCTCCCCCCCCTCCTCCTGTTTCTTCACCTCCACCACTGCTGCCAGCAAAATTAACACCCTGCTGCAGAAACTGCTGCTGCCGCTCCTTCTGCTCCCCCTGTTCCTTCTGCTCCATTTGCTTGCGCCCTGCCGTGCCCACCACAGTCGCCACACCCACCTCCGCTCGCCCCTGCACCTCCCCTCCCCTCCCCTCCCCTCCATCCCCCCCCATCTCCTCACGCCAGCCTGAGCCCCGCGCCCCTCTCCTGATCCCGCCGCGCTCCACTTCCCTCGCATACTCCCCTCGCCCGCCCCCCTGCTCCTCTCGCCCGTTGCTCTGCTGCTCGCGGTACCGGCCGTTTCTCTGCTGCGGGTGCTGCTGCTGCTGCTGCTGCGGGTGCTGCTGCTGCGGGTGCTGCTGCTGCTGCTGCTGCTGCTGCGGCTGCTGCTGCTGCTCGGTCATGGAGACGACCTTCCTGAGGGTGCGAGCGCGCAGGTCGCCCGACGCAGCAGCAGCCGCCATGGCCTTTTGCACCACCATGTCCGTCGGGAACGACCTTTGAGTCAACTCAAACGACGCAGCAGCTGCTGCACCCGCCATGGCCTCAGACCTCTGCACCACCGCCACCACTGCCGCCGCTGCCGTGTCTGTTGGATAGTCTGCACTGCTACCCCCGGACCCCCCTTGTCCGGTTGCCCCCTTATGGTTCCCCCCCCCACCGTCCTCTCCCCCGCCCTCTACCTCTTGCTCCCCCCATACGTTTCCCCCTTCCCCTCGCCTTCCTCCTCTTGCTCCCACTCCCTGTGATCTTAAAGCTACCTTCACCCCTGCCCCCTCGCCTGTGTTTGCTCCTCCTCCTCCTCCTCCTCCTCCCCCTCTTCCTCCCCCCGCACCTGCTCGGGCATCTCCCTCCTCTGCACCATCCGATGCCTCCTCACTCTCCATATCTCGTTCCAACTTTCTCTCCCTGCATCTCCCCAACTCTCTCTCCCTGTGTCTCTCCGTCTGTGCGCCTAAGTACTGGGCAGTTCCAGAGATGGCAGCAGCAGCTTCGGCAAGCGTATCCCACCCGTTCTGCCCACTGCTCCTGCCACCAGCACTGAGTCCCTCCCCTTTCAAGCTGCTGCTGCTGGGATGGCCTCTAGAACCGCTCATCCCCGCACCACCATCCGCACCACCACCACCACCACCACCACTGGTGCGGCGAATGCTGACGGCAGCACCATCACCAGCACCTCTTGAAGCAGCAGCAGCAGGAGTGGCGCCACTCACAGCAGAAGTGGCAGCAGCGGTGAGCGCAGCCGCGCCGTCAAAGGAGCCGAGGGAGGGGAAGCGGCGGTGGGAGTAGAGGCGCTCCTTGGGGCCCCACACGCCCTCCACCTCCAGCTCTGCTGGCAACCCCGCCTCACCTGCCACACCCATCCCTCCCATCCCTGCCATCCCACCTGACTCACCGTTTCTTCCTCCATCCCCCCCTGAACCTCCGCCTCTTCCTCCGTTCCTTCTGCCGCCCCTTTCAGTCACGCCCCCCAGAGCAGCAGCAGCAGCGGCAGCAAGCGCATTAGCGTCCCCAATAGAGCCGGCAGTGGCAGCGCCTGCGGCAACAGTACCCGGTGCAGCAGCCGCAGCAGCCGCAGCAGCAGGAGGAGGGCCGGCAGCGGGTGCAGCATTGGCAGCCGCGAGTTGCAGGGCCCTCTTGCCTCGACTCAACGTGCGGGAGTTGACCAGCATGCGCGATGGCGGGATGGCCGCTGATGCCGCCACCGAACCACCCCCACCCCCACCACCACCATTAGCACCAGCACCAGCACCAGCACCACCAGCATCCCCGGCAGCAGCAGCAGCACCATCATCCGCATACCCCAGAGAAACCCCGGCCCCAGGAGACGTGGAGGCGCTGGAGCCCCCAAATGACTCCCCATTGCTGTACCCCCGCACAAGAGTGTGGGTGGAGAGGGGCGAGGAGGAGGAGAGAGGAGACGCGGGCACGGACGGGCTCCACGGGGACGACGGCCAGAGCCCGTACGGCGACGTGGGAGTGGTGGAGGAGAGGGCAGGCGGGGAGGGCGGCGGGCCGGAGGGCACAGCGACCGAGACAGAGACAGAGACGCTTGGATGGGGGTGGGGGGGCGCGGTGGGGGGGCGAGAGGACAGCTGGTGCGCGCTGCTGGTGCTGTGGGAGCGGTAGAAGGGGGACGTGGAGGGAGGGGCGGGGAGGTCTGCGAAGGAGAGCAGGCTCGAGGTGCCTGTAGCAGCATTAGCCACTACTGACGCGCCAGCCACAGCAGCGGAGGCAGCAGAGGCAGAAGCCATTCCCCCTGAGGGTCCTAGAGGGGTGACTCCTCCAGGAGGAGAGATGGGAGGGGAGGAGGCGGTGGGATGGGCTGGCGTGGGGGAGGGGAGAGAGTGGTTGAGATGGGAGGGACGCGTGGGATGAGGGGCGACGGGGGAGGCGGTGGGCGGCAGGAGGGAGGAGGAGGAGGAGGAGGAGGAGGAGGAGGAGGAGGAGGAGGAGGAGGAGGAGAGGGGGCAGCTGCTGGTGCATAAAATTCTTGCGGTGCCATGATCAGAGGTCCCACAAGCAGCAGCAGGGAAAGCAACAGCGGCACCAGCAGCGCCACCAGGAGAAGGGGCAGCAGCAAGTGCGTCTGTGGTTGCTAGCCTGCTGCGGCGCGCAGAGGGCTCCGTGGGCGGGTCAAACAAGTCAACGGGTAGCAGCACACCGCTGGACGGCGCAGACCTGGTCGTGCCACCATCACCACCACACTCCGCTGCTGCCGCTGCTTCTCCTCCTCCTGCTGCTGTTGCTGCTGCTGAAGCGGGTGTGGCTTTCCGGTGGGCGAACACGAAGCCGCCCATTTTGGCTGCTGTGAAGTGAGCCGGCCGCCGGGGCGATGATGAGGACACAAGTGCCGGTGGGGTGCACGCCTGGTCAGCGCTGATGGAAACAGCCAAAACTCCAACACCAGCGGCGCCACCACCGCTGCTGCAACCACCACCACCCGCACCCGCAGCATTAGCAGCGGAAGCAGCAGCAGCACCAGCGCGATACCTCCCGACCTTTCCACCGCCCATGCCATCCGCACCTGGCCTCTCCTCTTCCCCCCCCTCCAACCCCCCCAGGCCCGCAGGCTGCAGGCACAGCTCCTCACTACACACAGCTGTGCGCCCCCCCTGGTTGGGGTGCAGGTGGGGGTTGAGCGGCAGGGCGCGGGGGTCGGAGAGGGATGGCGTGCGGTGGGACGCGGTGACGAGGCACTTGAGCTTGCGCGAGCCCTGCTGCAGCACCATGACGTGACGGCCGGGCGGCAGGTGCGCCAAGCAGTGCGACACCACCGCCGCCTCGCCTGACCCCCACAGCTGCCGCCTGGGGGCGCGGAAGGCAGCGGGGCGGAGGAGGGAGGGGAGGGGAGAGGAGAATGGAGAGAAAAGAACGAGATTTGTAAGTGCAGGGCGAGGGAGCAAGGAGAGGCAGAGAGGTGGCAGCCATGGGAGTCATTTTTTAGAATTCTCAAAGAACGACGGCGGGGAGGGGGGGAGAGGAAAGAGCAGGAGGAGGAGGAGGAAGGGTGGGGGGGATGGATCAAGTGGTATTATTGCTGGAGGAGGGAGAGGGAGGAGGGAGAGGGAGGAGGGAGAGGGAGGAGGGAGAGGGAGGAGGGAGAGGGAGGAGGGAGAGGGAGGAGGGAGAGGGAGGAGGGAGAGGGAGGAGGGAGAGGGAGGAGGGAGAGGGAGGAGGGAGAGGGGGGGGGGAGGAGGTGGGGGGGAATGCTGCGAGATGGGAGCAAGACAGGTGGGTGGGTGCCTCACTTGCGCAGGCCGATGAAGAGGCACGCGGCGCGGAAGCGCCTGACCGCGAGGCACAGCCCCCTCTCCCTGCTCTCGCTCCTCTCCACGTGCACCACTGCCCTCACCTGGCGCGCACGTGGCGCACGGGGGGGGGGAGCGGGGAGGGGAAAGGAGGAGATGAGAGAGAGGGAACATGGGGGACATGGAGTCATGGGGGGGTTGATCAACAGGACGTCAAGGAGGCAAGCCACAACAAACAGGAGGACAAAAGGGGAGTAGGGGGATTGGGAGGGCAACAGGAGGACAAGGGGTAGGTAGGAGAAGCAAGGGCGACAGAGAGACAGGTAGCACTCCCTGGTTTCGTTCGACCGCACCTGGTGTTTCGTGCGAGGAACCAGAGATGGGATGCAGCTGTGCTCGCTTCATCGCTGGTGCGCGCAGTGCTGTGTTAGTCAGGCGTGGTGCTGAGCTACTTCAATTCTTTTCAACCAGATTGCCATTTGTCAGTGCTGCGAGGGTGTGTTGCACGAAATCATATTTCTCGCAAGAATAGCGCCAGCGGCAATGTGGATTAGAAAAGTGACGCGCTTCATTGTATAACGAGGATTTGAGATAAGGAGAACGGATGACGTGGTCAGATCCGCCATCTCATGTCCCTCCCACACCATACCGTTTACCTTCGTCCCTCCTCCCCTCCAGCGCACTCCTTTACAACCATCTCCTCACATCCGCGCGCGTGAGCAAGGCTTCCAGCTCCTACCTCCCATCCCAACCCCCGCAAGCTTAGCCCTGCTCCTTCACTCATTCAGCGTCTATCCCGCTCAAAAACCAGCCCCCCCCCTCCGCTCCCTCCCTCCCCCCCCCCCATTATACTCGCGCACCTTCCGCGACCGCGCGAGCTGCAGCGCTGCCTCGAGCGCAGCCAGGGTCCGCGCCTCCTCTGTTCTGCCCTCCGCCCCCGCCGCAGCTAGCGCGCTGGTAGGCGCTTCATCTGCAGAAGTTGGGAAAGGGTTTGCGGGGAGGGGGACGGAGGGGGGACGGAGGGGGGACGGAGGGGGGCAACAAGGCGCAGGGCGCAGGGATATAGATCGTTTTAACAGGGCGAGGCGTGGTGGCGTCGCGGCGACTCTAGGTTCGGCGCCAGTCCGTGTGAGCGGCAGTGACGACGGGGACGACTCGTCAACAACAGCTCAGCGAAACCGTGGAGCGACGCTGCGACATGCTGCTGCTACTACTACTACTGTTTGCCGTTTCGATCAGCGGCGGTGGCGGCGGCGGCGGCGGCGGCAAGCGAAATGAAACATCGGGACCGCTGGAACGACACGCTTTTTCGCTTGGCGACTCTCAAGGACGACAGGAGGATAAGGTTCGCTAGCAACGGTCAGCTAGAACGTCCGCTAGGACGTTGTAATGAAACCGATGGCTGAGTATAGCGCGGATAAGGTTTGCATCCACGGCGCGCGTCATAGCGACCTCGTGTAGCACTGTTTCGGCCGGATTGGTCGCACGGTTTCGTCAGAGGGCAAGCCGACGCGTAGTCTAACCGCGGGCGCGAAACACCAAAAAGAATGACGCTGTGCAGGGGAACCGAGAAAACTCCAGGAATGCCATTCGCGACGCATCCACGAGAGCCATGTGCGATGCGATGCGATGCGATGCGATGCGATGCGACGCGATGCGATGCGACGCGATGCGATGCGATGCGACGCGATGCGATGCGACGCGATGCGATTAGACGCGCTGCGATGCCGTCCCGATGTAGACTTCTTTTGGCGGCGGGCTCGCCGCTCCCACGGCCTGGTGCCCGCCGCACTCTTCCTTTCTTCCAACCGCCGATCCTAGGCGTCGACGCGGCAAAGGGACCTTGGGGGAAAGACCGCATCACACCATGCCAACGCGACCTCGAAAAGCGGCGAGACGGCTCGTGCGCATGGAGTGACTTTCAAGTGACGAGATGGTCGGGGACGGGGTGTCGGGGGACGGGGTGTCGGGGACGGGGTGTCGGGGGACGGGGTGTCGGGGGACGGGGTGTCGGGGGACGGGGTGTCGGGGGTCGGGGTGTCGGGGGTCGGGGTGTCGGGGAACGGCGTGGGAAGAACACGGCATGGAAGCCGATGCGAGCCGGAGATTAGTGTCAAAAGGCAAGGAGGGAGGATTGCCGTACCGTACTAGCAGGGATCTGACTCGAGGCTGACGGCGGAGATTGATCAGGGAGGAAGGGGGAGCGGGGGGGGAGGAGGGGGCTTTGATTTGCGCAGTACTTACCAGGCGCGTGGGATTCGAGGGAATTCGATTCTCCCGAGGCGATAGCGCACAGAATCAGCGTCACAGCCGCCGCCAGCTGCCCACCGCCGCCCTCCGAATCACCGGCGCTTCTGCCACTGACGCTGCTGCTGCTGCTGCTGCTGCTGCTGCTATCGCCGCTGCATCCGCCGCCAGCCGCGTTTAAGTTGGAGCTAGTACTAGCAGCGGCGGCGTCGGGGAGGTGCTGCTCCGCGTGAGCGACGGCAGCGCCCACAGTCTCCGCCGCTAACTCGCGGTTCCTGCCCACCTCCACCACCCACACGACGCCCGACGCATCATCGCACGCACTCGCTGCGCGCGTCATTGCCGTGGGACTCCCACGGGGCTCGGGCGTTTTTTAGAATTCTCAAAGAGCTGCGCCTTTGCAATACTTCAAACCCCGCAGCGCTCTGATTGGATTAGTAGCTGAGGGGGGTGGAGCGAGCGGCCCGGCATGTAGAGTAGAGGACAGAGTGAGAGAGAGGGAGGGAGAGAACTTAGCGGCGTGGAGCGGAATGAGATGGATGCCGGGGAAGTGTGTTACTCGAGGGGATGGGTGTGGTGTGGGAGTCGATTGATTCAAACAAATAGAAACAAATGATTGGAGTCCGTCTGACGATTGTGGGGGGCTTTTCCAGATCCAGGGATGGCCATGACTGAGTTGAGGTGTTGCGACCGTAGCCGAGATCTGGAATCTTGACGGGTGTTGGCGAAAGCGAAGAATCAGAATACACCCTAAAACTCGTTATACTAAAACTTTTTAGGAAGTGCGGTTTTGTTTGTCTTTAGTGAAATTTGACAATACATGACTGCCCATGTAACCGATCGCTGTTGGTATTCCCCTACACCCCAACGTAGGTTTCGGGGAGCTGAACGATCCAACGCCATGGCGAGGCTAATAATCAAACAAAATGGAATTGCCATTCATCGCGCACGCCCGCGTGCTTCCATCGCGTGGATTGTTTGTTTGCAAATTGGGATGTTCGGGACTGGAGAAACGGGTATGCTTCTACCCGTTTCTGTCTTTTAATGCTTAGAATAACAGCCACATTCGGTACAGGGCACTCAGAAATTGCGCGGACGCAATTTGATAAGAAGCTGATCTCGTCATTGACGATACGTGAGTTTTGATCCTACGTGATTTTACCATAACGAGGTTTAGGGTGCATGGCGGAAATGGAAAAGTGCAGGCCTTGTCGAATGATTCGACGATTGAAATGCTCGTTAGGTGACGTGAATGAGCCAGCCATGGTCCGTGGATCTTCACGACCCGACGACCAGCCAGCCAGCCTGCTGGTTGCATTCAGTTGAGTTGAGGCCCCCCACCAGGCCGCTCGCTAAGCCCCAGGGTATTCCAGGACAGGACGGAATCGCCTCTGGATAACCTGTTAACAGACGGAATCCCCCCAAAAAAACCCGTTAAGAAAAGGAAACTGGCGCTACAAATTCCGCTAGCCAGGAATCAATGAGGGGGGGGGGGGGGGCTGGGCTGAAGAGGGGAGGGAGGGCAGAGGTCGCGAAGAGGGGGGGTGGTGGGGGGTGGGGTTTGGGGGGGTTGGGGGGGGGGGGAGAGGGGAGTTGAGGCCGCTACGCCCTGCAGATTGCCTTACTACTACAAGTATAGCCTGTACGGATTCAAAAATGAGAGCTCGTTAGGCTAAGGCATCGCGCGAAATTGTTTCCGTAAGTTGGACGGATTCGAAAAAAAAAATCGTACCGTAAAAAACGGGAGCCTCTAAAAACGTCACTCTTAATTTAACAAAATTAAGGGAGAATGATCTTCTAGCACGAGACCTGCCCCCCAGCCTCGCCGCACTGGCAGCTGCAATGACTGCAGCGGCAGCGGCAGTGGTTGTGGCTGCAGCCAGTGAGCGAACAGTCGAGGCGGCTCGCTTTGTTTTTGCCCACGCGCAGTCGTTCATTTGTCGTGGTCGCTTGTCTGTCCATAACCACGGTCTCGTCTTGTCTCTTCTGAATGACTTTTTCCCTGGCTCCACACGGGATGTGCTAGCCCACCCTGAAATGCCCTCAAATCTCCGGAATGTGTGGACGGTGATTGGTTTTGTTGGAGGTTTGGGGCATCCAAAAGGAAAATGGAATATGAAAACGAAACCGCAAAACCCGACCGGCATTCATCAATGTTTGTTCGTTTTGCAATTTGGCTGTCCAGGCACGAAGGGTCAGGCATGGGCACCCAAGAACCCATCAGACCAACATTGTTTCAGCTTGGCAGTGCGCAATCAAGCTGGTCAAAATAGTAACGTCTAATTGCGGTGGAGTAGCTTGCGGTGCGTTTTAAAGTGTTCGAATAGCAACCTAGAATGGTTGGGTATGGTATTTTGCGGAAACAAACTTTTTGGACCCGCCCTCGAGGGCTGAAATGAGGGCGTCTCACTAATGTACGTTTTCGCAGAATATCCTACTCAACCGTTATAGTTTTTATTTGACCACTCTTGAACGCTAACTATTGTATCGAACCGCAATCGCAACACGAAATGACATTCCCTGACTGGACTGGATCCATCCAAGTGCCACACAAAGACCTTGTTCTACAGGCACACGATACCCTCTAAATATTCGCTCATAGTTTCGAGACTCGCAGATTTTGGTTCGGAATTTGGTTCGGCACGAAAATTGCATCCAACCGAGCCAAATGGAACCCTTGTGCCAACAGAACCTATCCCCCTGCTGACGGAAACTTGAGTCACGCAACCACCACCCGAGCTCCAACCCAGCCAATCTGGGGGCCGTTCGCTGGCCAAATTTTCACCGGCACGGCAAGGGAAATCAGGAATGTGGAACATCGATCTAGGCTTCGTGGGTTCGCCGAACTTAATTTGCGAACCATGACCATGCGACATCGTCGCGTAGGCTCGGTTTCCCCAAACCAACAGCCCCCAAGTCGCGTGCCCCTTCTCATGCCAAACCCGAAGCGCGGCCATCAGCCGCCCAGAGCTGCCAAGCAAACATCAATTTAACTCCGTGCCACACCACATACTGCAAAATCGTGGTATGAGGCAGGCCAAGATTGGCATGCCTCGGGGCTGGGCTGGTTCACGAAACAAAAAAAAAAAAAAAAAAAAAAAAAAAAACCAAAAAAAAAACCAAAAACAACCCGCATTTCACACTTGTCCATGACAGTCACTTCCCCTCCGACCCTACCCGTCAATCTGCGCAATTGCGCCAGCCTGTATCCAACCAACCGGCCAAATTTTGAAATGTTAAAAAAATGGGCAGTTTTGATAAAATTGTGTGAAACGCATTTTCTCCGCAGATTTTCGACGAAAGTGCTGTGGGCTAACAGGGCTTTTGATGGGCCCCACTCTTCACTGTCCGCGAGTTTGTCGTATCCAGGCCTGCAGTCGTGACCAACGTAATCATGAGCCGGCGACGTTATGATTACCAAAGTACTGGGGCACAAAAAGAAAAATTACGTAGGTTTGGCTGCGCAAATTCCATGCGGGCGAGATTTGGTCGCCCGTTCCCCTTCCCGCTCCCCTCGGCAAATTGCCAGCGAACGGCCCCCTGGGCGGTTTGGGGAGCCAATTGAGGGGCCCACAAAGGAGGTGATCGCGAGCCACCGGGGGACCGACGCGGAGGAAGGTGGGGCGCAACTGAGGTGGTTGGTGAGATTGGTCAAAGGGGGGCCAAAGAGCGAAGACCCCTAAGCTAGGCGTGACATGGCGGTTTTGCATGTGGGGGGAAAGGGGGGAAAGAGTTGGGGAAAGGAGGGAGCGGGGGGGTGGGGGGAAGAGAAATCGAAGGTGCGAGGCACTGAACCAAAAGCCCCGCTTTAATCAGCCCTCATTGCCAAACTCGAAATCGCTATAGTTGGGCAGCGAAGGGTAAACCCCAATTGGCCAAGAAAACTCCCAAAATGTGGTTTTTTAATTAATGATGAACATATGGCCCACGCAAACAGAAAAGCAAACGCAACAACCCTCCAGAAGCGAGTGTATTCCATTTATTTCTTACTACCCAGGTCCGAGGGACCAGAATTAGGTTCCTGCATCGATTTGTCTCGAGGCAGGAACACATTTTGGGTTCCCTCAGAGGCTGGCATAACTCTTTCGCCAAGGGGGGAATGGGTCACCTGGACCGAGCAGGGGACCCATTCTGGTCTGCTCCCCGAGCCGCGTTTTCGGCCCGCTTAGAACCATTACACTTAATACGTGCAATTGTTTTTTACTACAAACTCACCTGACACTTGAGCAATATATGCTTCCACGGTACAGGTGGGCTGTACCACCTGTTTGATACGCAGTCTAGCTTTTCCCAGAGTTCCAAGCCTTTGACAAAACTCAAGGGGAACCCATTTCTGGTCCCCCGAACCCGGGTATTTAGAAATTAGTTGAATACACCCGATCGGGGGAGGAGTCAACGCCGAAAGCCATGATGCTTAAAACGGTGCACCCACGTGCTGCGTACACTGCCGTATGTTCCTTTTAGTTTTCAATTTTGTGTCATTCTTTTTTCATTAGCATATTGGTTTACCAGCCTATTTCCCTGAGCTACATTGAATTCGACCAAGTGCAATTCATCTGTTGCACTCATGGCTTCGGGTAGGGAGGCCCGCTTTTTCATTATCCCTTCCAACCGTTCCCCTTTCTCCTCCTGGGCGCAACTCCGTCGCGCCACGTCCGGGGTGTTTCGACCCCCCTTCCTCAGCCTAGGTCCCCCAGTGGCTCCCAATCATCACCCTGGAATGCCGATACCATGCCACGACCAATCCACCAAAGTAGGTGAATCACAGAGGACTAGAATTGGAATCCCCCTCTCAGGGTTGTGCGATCTCCTGAAGGCGAAAGTGAGGCTCAAGTTTCCTGGCGAGGTCACATGGTTTCCATCAGCACTGACGAAAGTATTGAACAGGCTTGAATGGCAACCCTATACCCGTAATTTCTAACACCGCTTCGCAAATTCCGCTCTCCTTGGAATTGACGTGCCCGTAGAAAACAGTCGTAACGAACAAAGTCATTAAATCCCCGAACGATCCCCAAACTTTTCGTGGCTACGTGGACCCGACAAATCACTTATGTTCATTTTGCAGACATTCAGATTCATTATATATAATATCATAAAGCATCCGTCATTTGCATTTCGTGGTCTTAAATTATCTGGGATGGGACGGTGGTAGCATGTAAGAGAGTCTTGACCATACAATTTCTCCTTTATAGCTCACTACATGCCCTTCCTACGAACTGGACACCTATGGTTTATGGTCGCATGCCTTTAGTTAATAGTCGTAGAAGAATACAGTGAAGTGGAAACGATATATGGGGCCCTTGCCACCTTGCACATAGATGTACCATGCTTGAGAGACAGTACGTATTTGGTGCCCTTGTGTCCCGACATCTACAGCATATTGTAGTGTGTTCCTAAGACCCCTCTTGTTATTTCAATACCCCATTCAGATTTGTGTTCCACTATCTGCTGAACCTATATCATGACTAAGCTCCCTCATATCGGTTCGAGAGCCCTAACGTTTAGAGCTCGTTTGCAGCCCTATAGGGCAACGAGACCGATTTGGCCTGATATATAGTGCAGCACTATATATCAGGCCAAATCGGTCTCGTTGCCGAAGGCTGCCA